TTCTTGATTAATCTATCCATCTATTTGCTCCCACGATAACTGAGTTTCAACCAAATTACACAACAGAAATTATCGTGCCGCCAGCCTGCCATAACAGGAAAGCGCAAAACTCACACCACTTTACTGTTCGGTATTTCAATGCCCTCTCTATCTTAAATATACAAGGCATTTCTTGAAGAATGTGAACATCGATAGACTATTAAAAATATTTCGTTTTGTGGAATAAACGCGACGGAGCCTGCAAAGAATGCAAGTGATCAATGAAAAGAGTCAAATGAATCTCTGGTACATTTTAAAAATACTTAGTGTATATATATATAATTTGAATTATTTAAATAAAATTTTAACAATTTAAAGTTAATATTTTTATTCAAATATTTAAAATATAAAACATAGAAATTTAATTTAAACAAAACAACCGAATTATTAAAGAACACGAAAAAGTTTAAAAAACATGGCATTTATATTTATAATATATATATATATAAAATAAGACTTTTTATAATTATTTCTCACACAGACATCTTTTTCCTTTTTAAGTTACGTACAAGTTCTCTATAAGATCATCAATTAAATCCTATAAAGTTTGTGAGCAATTTAAATATAATTCTTTTTTGGGTGTAAAATGATGACCCCGAGTATCTTTTGAGGCGGAAAGAGACAAGGATTGTTGGCATGCCAAGATGATTTGATAATATAATGTATGGCAGGGGTAGGATCATACGTGATGGAACTGTGTGCTCTCCAATCAAACTTCGACAGATGCGGAAGCTTATAAAAGCCTACGACCTGCCCTATAAATCCCCCGCAAAGCTTGGCCCCGTCTATCAATAGTATTCAATAATTTCTCCGACCAAAATATAAAATATTAATAATTAATTTATAACTCCAAAAAATATTAGTTAAAATTTTAATTTTTTAAAAAATTTATATTTTTTATTTTTATTATCATTAAATACCTTATATAAATATTTTAATAATAATAATTAAAATTTTAACATACTTCCTCCAGTCTCATTTATAAGCTATATTTTAAAAGATTTATTTGATCCCACTTATAGGTTATGAAGTGATATTTGAAAAGTATTTTTAAAATTATATTTTATAAAAAAAATAACATGGCATCATTTTTTTTATTTGTTATATAAAGATACATTTATAATTCGAGACACTTTTATTCATTGTACTTTGTTTGTATTGATATTAATGAGGCTGATAAAAATGATTTATAAAAAAGATCAGAGGAGTATGAATTTTTTAAAAAGAATAATAAATAAAGTAAGGATATAGTTAAAAAAATAATTATAAGAGTTATATTTAATATTCTGTATTTTATATTAAATGAAACTTTTAAAATATGCCTTATATTACAATATGGAAGAAGTATATATCAGAATTACAACACGCACTTATTTGGAGTAGCCTCTTCACAAAAAGATCAAGGACCTTGCTATAAAAAATTAGATGGTCAAGCACATGTTTAGAGAAATTAATAGATGCGAGAATTGTTAGATTGGTTTGCCCGGTAATAAATAATAGTTTTATATCTTTTTTATTTTTTTAATTTAAATTTTTAAATATTTATTTAAAATTAATTGAATTTAATTAAATATTATTTGATAATCCTCAACTTTAAAATTTTAACTACCTAAATCTTAAATTTCAAACTATAAATGATCTTTTTAATATTTTTGCACACTTACTATTTTATTTTATTTTATTTTATTTGTGCATATTTTTTAAATTTAATTTAAAAAATATTAATAAAGATTATTTTGGAGTGAAGAATATGGATATATTTAAAAAAAAAGATAAGAATTAAATTTCAGAAATTTTATTTATATTTATCTTGATATTTTTAATGTCGTTTTTAATTAGGATTATTTAAAATAATATTATCATTTTATTACATTAGTAGGTTTTATTTATAAAGAAAGGACGCACAGATCACTTTTACTTGAGGGAAGGAAGGAAACAGCGAGGAGAGCCCAGGATTTCGAAAATAATTTGGAGGGGAACAGAGGCGACGCACGATGGCTGTTCGTCTTTTCTTTTCTCCAGTGTTTTTGAGCGACGGCTTTTCAAGCTCTTATGCTGTGTTGTTGTTGTTGTTGTTTTTTTTTTTGGCCCCTAAAGTTGTGAAGAAATAATTTTTTTTTGAGGTGATCAAACAAAAATTATAACTCTAAATGATAATCAGAGTTTTTAATATTAAAAAAAATTTTATTTTAACCTTATTCTAATTTGTTATTCTTCTTTTTAACTTTAAATTTTATACTTTAATCATTATTATTGATTAAAATAACTTTATTACACACCGTTATATATTTTATTTTAGATTTTGATTACTGTAATCGATTGATACAATATCACAAGAACACATTTGACATTGCTTGACTTATTATTTATATTTTGTTTTTTGGTGTAGTTAATGTAGAAACATTTGTTAGATTGTGATTTAAAGAAACTATCAATTAGTTCATAATTTAATTTTTTGTTTAATTCTTGAATGATAATTTTAAAAATATATATATAATAAAAATAGAATAATAAAGTTAAAGAAATTTAATTTTTTTGATGGATAAAAAAGATTAAGTTTAAATAATTGAGTTGTGATTGATTATACCGCCTATGTAATTTTTTCAGTTAAACTTACTTTAATTATTTAATTTTTTTAAATTTTTTTTCATAAAAATCCTCCCACTATTTTTCTTTTATAATCTTAATTTAAATAATTAATTTATTAACTCTTGAAGAACTGACCTACATTGTGTTTTATTATAAAATTTAATTTTTATTAAATTTAATACTATTTGATAATAGTAACATCGGTCAAACACTCAAACCTTTAATGATAACTTTAATTTAATATTTGATTTTTAACAAGTAACTCTTTGAGCACAAAAATTGTACTATGATTTTTGACATAACTTAAAGCACTTTTTCTTGCACGGATATCATGATCTCGTATTCAAATAAATATTACAAAATATACAACCATGTATAAATATTTGGGTAAATATATGTGATGTGATAAATAAAAATATAATTAATATGAATTTTTTAATTTATTTGAAAATTTTATTAACATAATTTAAAAATTAAACTAATAAATAAAGCAAAACTTCATTTTATATTATATTAATTGAGTGTTATAAAAACTTGTGACAAAAATAACTATTATTATAAATATAAATAAATATCATTGGCTCCCTCTTACAAATATAAATCTACATACAATATAATATAATTTAATTTAATTTAATTTAATTAAAATATAAAAATAAGTAAATGGATTTGTAGGAGCATGTGGCCTGTTTTTTTTTTTTTAAAAAAAACTTAACCTGATCTTACAAAAAGGGCAACCTTAAGCCTACAAACGTGTCTATTTACGTAAGGAAGTTATATGTTTAGTGAAATAAATATTTAGATAGATTGAATGCACCATGTTATTTATAATTTATTTAATTAAAATATTTTAAATAATTTAAATAAATAGTATATAATATTTTTAAATTAATTTTATTTTTATAATAAAATTTACATTTAATTTTTTATCTTTTTTCTTTTTATTATTGTTAATATTAAAATTTATTTATATTTAATGTTATTTAAATATTATATTTTTATTACATAAACCACAAATAGTGTGGTATACTTAGTCTATTTAAGTATTCCAAGTGTAGTGGAAGCTTAGCCTAACATAATCTATTTCCACTCGTGATCGAATCTGACAAATCTCAAATCGTTGGTAAATGATAATATTTGTCTGACCAGCGGCAAAAAATGCACGCCTCTCCTCCAAAGACGCCGGATTTGGTCTCTATGATTCTTAGAATAGTTGATACGAACCTCCACGCAGGAACATGCTAATCTTCTAAGTAACACGAGGAGGAAATTATGAATAGAAGAACCCGGAATGCGAAATCCAACCCATTTTCCCTTAACAAGGCCCTCGACGCCTCCAGAATGGACTTCAAAGGCCCATAACATCATACCAGTCCCATGTTTTATACTTCAGAATTGGGCTTCTTAATAGCATTGGTCAAAGCGGGAATAGACATAAAGGGGGGGGGGGGGGGGGGAGACAAAAGGTTCAACTTGTTACACCTCAAAAACCATCTGAGAAAATAACTTGGAATTGAAAATCGTTACCACGTACCCAAGGTCGTATCCAGCTGTGGATGTGAAAATCTTATTAATAAACTATCTGCTGCGTGAGTTCTCTGAGCCGTATGAGAGGGCCGGCTCCAGTACTGGTGGCTAGAACTTGATCGGTTTTTCCTATTTTTAAAAAGATTCAAATTCAAAACCTTATTTTAATAGGATCTTGCGGCTCAACCACGTTCAGCCTTAAAACCCACTGGGTTTTTGGCTTTGAAGCTGACACTTTTTTAAATTAAATATTTAGTGTTTAATTAAATCAAGCAGTTGTTGAGGATCCTCGCGGATGTGTCAATTTTGTTGAGTGGGCGATGATAATACACAGTTTTTTTGGGAGCAACATGAAGTGCTATTTATTAAATGATTGTTTAAAATATAATTTTAATTAGTAATTAATACTTTTCAAAGTAAGCAATTTTGTTCCTGTTGAAGTCAAAAACGTTTTTTTTTTTAAGTAGAGATCTCATCTTAATACATAAATAAATAAATAATACTGTTGAAATTTCTAATATTACTCACGGTCATGTTTTATTTTCACTAATATTTATAATAATTACTGTGTTGAAATAAGCCTTGAAATGATTACACATTACACAGGCTAAGCGCACAAATTGATTTAATCATCTATCTTTTGGGTTGATCAAATCCTTAAATTAAAAATGTCAGGTCGATATCATCCTAATTTAAGAAGTTCTTAAAGCGAATGCTTGTCTTAACCCACAAGACTGTGGGGTTAAAGAGGCTAATCCAAATAGCACAATCAATTATCTGATGGCTCTGATAATTATTAATAATCAAGAACGCGTGGAAAGCTAAAGAATCAAGAATCAATCATGTGAGGAAGCATGCATGTGAGATTGGAGCACATAAATACTAAAAATATGCTGTGGCTATGTCAAGATGTACATTTTGTTAGGAAATGGAACACCTACCTAAATCAAATTTGTATCAAATGGCCACACTTCCATTGCGTCTGGCACAATCCTAAACGGTCGTGTTTGGCGCTCCGTCTACAAAGGGACCCGGTCTTCTTTCATGCATCTTTACCTGCGCCACTACACCTTCACGCCTGCCAATTTCATTTGTTGAACCAGACACGCACATCCAGTGAGATTTAATATATCAGACTAAACAGTAAATATACAAAGTCAATCATTGTGGGGTATGATTTGGTTGAGGGCCCTTTTCACTTCAACTATGCTGGTCTTCTTTCCGTTCGGATTTTCCTTCACCTTCGCCCTCAGCTCCGCCATGAACACCCCGTTGTTCAGTGATGACTGCACCGTCGTCACCTCTATCCTCATCTCTCTCAGCATTTGCATCACGTCCAGCAACAACCCTTCCCTGTTCTCGCATTCCAGCTCCAGCAGCGCGTCGCTCTCTATGATCGACACTTGCACTGACGTCACCACTCCCGACGGCGATGACGGCGGTGACTCCTCCACTGTCTTCGGCTTCCTCATCCCTCCGCTCCCCTCCAGGATCCTCATCTTCCTCTTGTCCGGCCCCGGTCTCGCCAAGCTCCTCGGTTGCTCCTTTGACTGTTGTTCTACTTCCATCTGGCGGTTACGAGCCTCCAGATCCTGGATCTTTTTACGCAGCTGCTTCACGTACTCGATGGTGTCTCCTAATATCGATGCTTTGTCCATTTTGGTGACGAAGGGCACAAGCGATCTCAGTATAATGAACCTCTCGTTGAGCTTCTCGCGGCGGCGTCGCTCCGCCAGCACGTGGTTTGCGCTTAGCTCATCCTGCGGTGTTCCCTTTCCACGGAGGCGCGTGACGGGATCGTTGCCATCCCGGGGCGTGGGCGAGTTGTCGTCTTGGTACTTGGCGTGAAGGAAAGGAACTGTGAACAGAATGTACTTGAGGAGCCACTGAGAGGTCCCGTCGGCGGACACGTGGAGGTGGTGGTGGTGGTGGTGGTCGGCACGGGTACTCCACTTGGCAAAAGCCGACTGAGAGGAGTAAGTTATGCACTCGACGGAGGGTGACTCGGCCCACCGAATAGACTGGTTGTGGAGAATGGTAGACACTGTTTGAGAGTAGTGGGTGTCCTCTTGTGTGAGGTCTTCTAGTTGACCGCCTTCTGCATTATGCCATCAGCACATTAAGAATTTTGTCAAAAACGTCTCAAATTATGGTTTTTGCTTGAAAATGAGCGAATCATGATAATGTCAGGGCTCACGTCGTTTCTTTCTGGAATAAAATGAGTTTTAAAACAGTTGACACACTATGCATGGTCCATGGATAAGCGTTTTCCTGGTTGCAAATAATTCAATTCGGATATAGTTTTGTTGCCATTCGACTCTCCTCCTTTCTTGAAAACAAGCAAAATTTTGGTGGCCGTCTATTACTGGTCACAACACACGCACACTTTTACGCACACTCTCAACTATAACAACGAGAGAGTGTGTGTATGTGTAATTTGATAGCTTTTGATATGAAGCCAAAATACTCGATGATGCCTTTCAAAGGTTTAAGGAAAGATTTTAAAGAGCGAGAAAGAAGTTGTGAATATTCTTCAACGACCTAACTTCTAAGAGATAAAAATGATTTAATTTAAAAGGTATTGTGTTAAAATATCAAACGATTTTGGTGATGGTCCTGTGATTTAAACTACAGCTTTATATAAAAAATGAAGATGAATAAGCATATGATTGAAATGCTTAGATATTTAATATTTGCAGACAAAAAAATCACGCAATATTTTTTCTTAATTAGCATATGTTTTCTGTAAAATTTGGGTAAAGTTCCAGTAGTATTACATGCACGAATATCAAAATATCCAAACTGACCATTGCAGTGCGCAAAAGTAATGAAGACGTCTATCTAACTTTACGACTATCCATTAGGGGCAACACGGACAGACTCAATAACTTTTCATTTCGGGTACAGCTCAGTTAATCAGTTCGTTTTCACGTATGCATGTACTGTTGACCTAAAAGTTAAAATGGGTGGCCAATGGTGTAATGACTCTGGAGAGGAGTGGGCCCACCCTAAAGTCCTCTTTAGGAAACGCAATTTATTGCGGAGGGAGCCTACAACTGCATGACGTACTGTGATTAGTCATTATTACTCAATAGCGGGTGTGAATAGCTAGTGTAGTTTGAGTACAGTGCTAGAACCTAGATTAACTTTTTCTTCTTATTGAGTGCCAGTTGCTCATTCACGCATCTATGCTAGTAACTAACTATGACGGTACCTGGAGCTGGTAGTTGAAGCACTGGATCAACCCATCTCCGGGTCGACTCGGCCCGGTACGAGTCTACTCGGCTCGGTACGTGATCCGTTGGGTGGCTCACCGCTAGCATATGGAAATCTGAGTCGAGGTTGTTGGAGCCATCGTCCGGTGATCCCACCCGGATATCCTCCGACATCTCCAGCTGCATTAACTCGCTCGGTTCTGCTGCAGTAGCTGCTGGCACACCTGAAGCATTCGGTGTAGACGTTGGGCGGCTGTTGCGGGCCGTTTCCGCCTCAGAATCGGAGTCAGCTTCTTCTTCATCATCCTCCTCGTCATCTTCATTCATGTGGTTGTTGGGAGCAGCTGGGGTGGCGGGTGATGGGTCCACGGCGGAGTACATGGCAGTGGGGATGGGGGCGGAATGGAAGCGGGAGTGGTCGGAAGAGGTGGTGGGGTTGGAAGTAGAGTGCTCGGAGAGGGCGGGCTTTGGCGGAGGAGGGTGGTGCTGCCGCTGGTGGTCTATGAAGAAGCTCTTCACATGTTGGATAAAATTAAGGTCTTCTTGAACCTATATATTGCATACATATATTAAAGCACAACGCATTATGCTAGACGTGATAAATTTGTTCAGCTGATATCAACAATATTAAATGGCAACTCATTTGTATTACCTTATCTGTTGTGCCCAACTCTACCACGCCGTCCATTAGAGGAATGCACACCACGGTCTGTAGTTTGCATGGCACACATATACGTATAATATGGTCACATTCTGTCTGTTAATTAGCTAGGTAGCCTGAAATTGCAGGGGTAGGAACTGAAGGTTAGATTTTTACCTGTATGCGAGCACTCTGGCAGGGAAAGAAGTTTCAAATCATTGACGTGCAGTGACGGGGGATCGCCAAGATAAGCAGGCATACGTAGTTAGTAAAACAGTTAATGGATCATAGGGGCCAAAACATCTATTAATTAATTGTGCTAAACGTTCGAATGAAAACCAAAGAAGTCTTTTAGCTTTTTGAATTTAAATTCAATGATTATACTTAATAAAGGCATTGAGAGCTTGTATCATCTAAACCATTAAAATAAATTAACAATTCAGATAAATTTACTTATTTATTAATCTTAAGTGAAGTATGAATTCATAATCATTAATGTAAATTTTAATAGTTCAGATAGTACAGACATTTAATGTTTGTATTAAATATAATCACTGAATTCAAATACTAGCTTTTTCATGAAATGGTGAAAATTAATTAATGCGTGCATTCATAGTTACAATAATCAGTACTAAAATGGTTGTGGAGGCACCTTGGCAAGAATAGCTCTTGAAAACGTTTTGCTGTCCACCTCGTTTGCTCCGGCAAGCCATACATGCTGCCTTCTCGCATATGCTTTTCCCGGTAATCTATATAAAAGTGTACCATCGTTAAATTCAAGCGAATGGCTCAATGATTTTCTTTTTAGCATGCACCATTTATAGTCTTGTTTTTTTTTGGGCAGCTGCACTATTTATAGTTTAGCTTGCGGTGATGAAAATAAGAGGTTAGTCTCTCGAACATGTCCTTCCAATTTGCAGTTTCATATTTAGTAAGTGGTAAAACTATAACCTGAAGAACAGTTAAGTTACTGATATTTGATCTCCTAATCCGACTCCAAAACCACACATATATACAATATACATATGTGCTCTTAGTTTTCTTTACATTTTTACTCTGATCTCCAAAATAGTTCGTATGTATGAAAAGAATCTCAGATTCTTATGTTCTTCTAGTAGATTGCGCGTGCGTGCGCATAGGAGTACTGTACTATCTATCCACAACAGATGCCTAGCCAATAGTTAGTTGAACCATCAGCCTACCTCTTGCATTATCGAAAATCCAATGGGTTAACTTGTAACAACCACGTGATCACTGATCATCTAAATACAAAAACCGGGAAACTATTGACGGGCATATGATCAAAACCGTGAGCCCTAATATGGTCGAAAAAGCTAGAAACTAAAAAGGTGTGAGGGAGAAATGGATCGAGCATTGGGATGGGGAAAACTTCCTAATGCAGAATGGTAGCAAAGTAGTGGCAGCTTTTTTGCAGTTTGAATAATGAACACATTAGCTTGCCTGGTTTCTCGAAGAAGCAGATCGCGTACAGCACCAGTCCTATTCAAGCATATAATGCGCAACTAATTAGTATTACTTGACTAGTCGGGCAAGATGTTTTCGGAGACAATCTTCTCGAATTTATTCCTCCGTATTACATTCTAATTAGGAAACTCTCTATATCAAGGTCGTCACATGGACATATATACTTTTCTTCATCAACTTTCTCCCGTGGAATCTTTACAAACTCTCGAATCTAGTTACGACCAGCACATAAAGACTCTCAGCTATCATACTAGCATAGAAAATTTAAGACTAGCTATCTGACCAACTTTTTTGGACTTGTACCGTGCCCAGCTTCTTATTGATGTCATATAAAATTTTCTCCTGAGTTACCAAAATCTTCTTTCTCAACGGAGGACATGGATACTTTCACTATAACAAATGCCAGAGAAAAGTTTAATAAATATATTGCAGGAATTTCGTGAGCGTTTGCCTTCAGCCTACTTAAAATTTTCCAGTCGATCGTACGTGTTCTTAAATTATTTCTTGCTGCCGTTATTAATTACTGACAACATTATTACTGCATTCAATACACCCGCTGCCTCACCAGATAAATTTCTCTCGCATCGGGAGCTAGATTTTAAAATAAACACTCGTAGTTAATACTAGAAACCGCGTTGATAATAATTTTGATATATATAGCTGATAGCAAGCAAGGGAAATTGTTGATGACACACGTACCCGATGCCAGGAGGAAAGGAGAAAGAGACGCACATCAAGTAGAACCATTCGGATTCGGTCAGGTCCTCCGGCGACAAGGCAGCACAAGGCCGTCGTGCAGGAGGGTTGGTCTCTCCGGCGGATAATGATTCGTAGAGCTCCCTGAGTTGCTGGCTTCTCTGGAGAGAAGCTTCCTCGGCACTAACTTCCATTGGCTGCACTGTTTTCCGAGTCTTAATTGCCCCATTGTAGTAACCATCGGCCCACACCAGAATCCTTGATCAACCAAATCAGCAAAAATAAACTCACAATTGAAATCAACGGTAATCTGCTATATATATATTGTAATTAATAATTGCAGAACAGTGATGAAGCGAGACGATTGATGAACGAAGGGATGTTTGTGCGTGCGTATGAAGAAGTACCCTTGCTGGGGACAAAGTTGCCAGAAAAGGCTATAAGTCCAATGAACTGACTGCACGGCGGCCTGCAGAAGGGTTTGAAACCTGGTAGGGAGGGGAGCAGCCATTGGAGGGGAAGGTGGCAATAGAGCGGCAGGTGGCGAATAGATTATAAGGAAAGGTGAATCATGCAGGGAAGGGAAAGGGAAGGGGAAAGAGAGAGGTGGGATTCCATGAAAAGTAAATAGAGAGGAGTGGGAGAGTCATGTCGGGAACTGAAAATCAAACCTTTTGAAGGGGCATATAAAAAGCAGACGGATGGGGAGGGGAAGACCTGCAGATATATGAAGAAGGGGTATGACTTTGAGGTGGATATGCGGGAGGCACCCAAGAAACTGAGGATTGTGATGATGAGGAGAAGGTTTGTTAATTGGTAGATATGTAGAAATAGGGTTATATGAAAGCAGCAGGCTTGGGGGCGATTGACTGGTTGGTCTACCAGACAGTTCGCGGGGATTTTCAGAGACACGCGAGTTGAGGCCGAGTGCTGATTTGGTAGTTGTGGGGTTTCTGAGAGTGAGCGCATTGCAATTTTAGGTGGCAGCTGTCAAGCCGCATCCTAGGCCTTGCTTTTCCCCACCAATGAGAAAAAACTATGTCACTACAAGGAAGAATCTATTGAAACAGGAGATTAATTATCTCTTCCGAGTCCTGAGAGCATATAATTATAACATTTATAAAAATTTAAATTTCCAATCATGTTTAAGTGATACAAATTCTCATCACTCGCGCCTATTTGAACTTGGAGTGTGATTGTTTATTTGTTTATTTTTTACTCCTCTGATTTTCCACTCTGCCCTACAATTAGAGCAATTACCCCTCCCTTCCTTTCATCCCTCTTCACGTTATACTCTCCCTTCACTGCGTTGCAGTATTAATTACTTTTAACTGATATCTTAAAAAGAAAAGTTATTAGTCAATCTAGTTACAGTAATATTTTTAAAATTACTCATTCTTCAAAAATGTTATACCAGCTAAAATATAATTAATTACTTTATAGATTTTGCTAAATGACTCAAAATGATAACGTGAAAAAGAGGTAGAATATTTCTCAATTCTTATTACTTCCTTTTTTTCATTAACTAACATGGATTTTTAAATAATATATGTTTAAAGAAAATGATATTTATTTTTCTGTCTCTGTGTGCTTTTACTAATCAACATTACTTTAATGATTTCTTACAAAAAATAAAATTTGAAAAAAAAACTAGTATTCAATTAATAAAGAAATTAAAGAATCACATTATTTACAAATCATCAACACAATCCACCGCACTTTAAGGTCTGCGCACATGCACAAGGCTCAGAGTTTAAGTATATTTCCTTGGAATGAAAAATATCAATTAGACTAATTTGTTGCTTTCTAGTAAAAGAAAAACAAACCAACTAGATCTACTGGTATGTTGGAGTCTGGGAGAAGTGGTGTGTCGTGTGGAGTGAGTGAGGGTCAGAGAGTCAAGAGCCATTTGACTTTCAGTTGTGTCGGCCGCTCAACTCTGTAACTCAATACATTAAAAACCAGTCTTTTGGGCCACAGTGGCTCTTTTATCCCAAGTTATCACCCAAAAACTTTGTCGTCACCAACAGCAACTGGCCCAAGGCCTCTTCCCATTGTACCGGAAATTACCTCAGGTAAAATTTGGATCGATAAATTTAAATTAAATTTTAAATTTAAAATATTACATTTTAAATCTCACATTTAAATTTTATGTATTTAAATTTTTTTATTTAGGTAATTTAAAAAATTTTAAATGAAAAAGATAAATGAGTTGAGATTCAAAATAAAAATAAAAAATTATAAATGATAAATTTATTTTTATTTTTTAATTGATGAAAAATGAAAATCAATGAGAAAATATACTAGAATAATAGAAGTATTTATCAATAGCAAAAATACAAAGATAACAGAACATTTAAAGCAAGTGAAATTTCAAATGATTAAGAAATAGAAAAAATTTAAAATTATAAAAAAAATTATAACAGAAAATGGAGTCAAATTTGAATTAAATTTAAATTCATAAATTTTTATATATCTAAATAAAAAATTTATATCAAATATAAATCCAAATTTTTGTTAATCCAAATGCACCATTAAAGAATTTCATTTTCAAAAAGCTAGTTTACGTTTTCATTGAACAGCATTGACTTGTCAAGCTCTGGATATTCATCAAAGGAAATGGATCGTATTCGAACCAAAATTTTCCAAATTCTCTAGAATAAGTTGAAAATCCTTCAGGGTAAATAGAGAGAAAATTGGGGAAGGGGGGAGGGGATATAAGGATTCACGAGTGTGAATCACACTCGGTCACATTTTCTCCCCTGGGATTGTTTTGTAAATTTATCGGCATCTGGTTCAATTCAAGATGAAAGAAAGCTTGGCAAGGGCAATTGGACAAACCATATCCTCCTTATAGTCTATGAAACCCCACTCCCGAACGGCGACACAGAAACAGAGTGCTGGAATTGAAGAAGATGGTGGTTCCTCCAAAATTGGCAGGAATCGTGATTGCTATGGTTTCCCTGTGGAGTATCGTTGAGGGTGTGGCCAACACCAACGTCACAACTGCTACCTGCAACTAGGGGACGTTCACGTCAGGCGATCCCTTTGATATTAGTTTGGCCTACGTTGTTCAAGATCCGGAGACCGTTACTCCATCACGCCAAGACCATGATTACTACAACATTTCTCCATATCCTAATGCTTTCGCCTATGGGCATGCCGCTTGCAATCCAAATCTCACGGCCTCTGACTGCAGAACATGTCTCGCTGCTGCTAAGACGGCCATGTTTGGGGCATGTCAGAAACGCAGAGGGGCTCGCGCTGTGCTCCATGATTGTACAATCAGGCATGAGCAATACCCTTTTGACGATTAGACGTTGGGCGGAATTTGGATTTCTGCTCCTACCAGAAAGCGCTGTTCGGTTTGGTTGGCTGTGCACTTCTATGATACCAGTCTGACACAATTTGATCGACTGCATGCAATAAAATGGTGCCCGTGACGTCCGACTTCTTAGCCCTGTTTTAATATTCTTGAAACCCATTGGGCACTCAAACCCGAAAACAAGTAACGTAAAGTGCGATGATATCAAAGCCACGTAAAATCGAATGGCAAATCTCATTACTCGATTGTTGCAGGATTTTTCCAGTCAAGGGGTATCCATTTTCTACACACAGCACCATGCGTGATAATTACTCCGGACTCTCTCTATCGAATATCAAAATTAAAACAATTGGCCGAAAAACCCGCACTCCTTCTATATATCATATACAAATATAAATACGAAGGAAACAGTTTTCATCCTTCGGAGGTTTTGACAATTTACAAAATGCAAAAATTTTTAAAAAATCCGGAGCTGCATTTTCTAATCCATAGTGTCAAGTTTGTCTGCGGCGAAATTTATGTTCGCCAGAGTCCCAAAATTCACCCTGCATGTGGAATCCAGGCTATGCTGATCAGTTGGTGCAGAATTTGTAAGGACTTGCAATGGCGGATCACTGTAAAGAGGATCAGGTAATCATAATGTGGTTTGGAAAATTCTGGTGCAGCTACGCATGGAAGTCCCAGCAAAGTTCCCAGATCAATCAGCCACACAGATCCTATGAATTGACTTCACAGTGCCAGTCAAAAATATTTGTTTGTGTATGTATTGAGAGTGCGAAATGTCTCCCGCTTAAGCAAAAATGCATAAAGAATCTCATTCCAAGAATCAGGGACGCCAGGTAAGCACCAATGGCTGCAGTCTTCCCGCTGCAGAGCAGCTATAGTGTTACTAGGCCCCAGATAGTAAATAGATGCATGCCCATCTTTTCTGCTTAGTGACATTTGTGTCACATTTAACAAGTCCAAATTCTTCACTTCCGACTTATTCAAGTGCTCTGATAAGGCATCGATGACAATTTTGAAATGTTTGTCAGATAATGGAGGCAACAAACCTAAATCAGGAAGTGTTTCCAAACGACAACTGCCACCAGTATTCCAGTCGCCACCCCTGCCATATCCTTCCAATGTGTTAGAACTCATTCATTATGTTTTTCCTAGGGGCTAACAAGTAATAACCGCAACAGTCAATAACTACTAAAAGAAATATGTGTTCAATTTTTCCAACTAATTCATAATATCCTATTCGTTAATGCTAAAGCTACCTGACCGTTTTGAAGGCAATGTCACACGGATATTTTAGTTACAAACTCACATAATATGGAGAAGAGGGGATTGTAGCTCAGAACCCAAATAGAAAAACTACGCTTAGAAAATCTCAAGCAAATAAAAATATAATAATCAGCATGAAATGAACAAACTAGGTTCAGGCAAACCTGAAATGCACGGGAGCATAAGTTCGGAGAAGAACGTAAGTCTTGTTCCTGTTTACTTCACTGACAATCCAATCGAATACTGTCTTCATTGATTTTCTGAACGCCTCCTCTACAGTCATATCCATGTTCACTTCCTTCCCTACTTGGAAGTAACAACCCCTAGAAACATAGAACAATCCTAAGATTAGACAGCCAACCAACTTGGGCATCAAATTATTCTTGCAAACTTTTCCATATCACTAATCAATTAAAAAAAATAATCAATGATTCATGATTCAACTAAGAGGGAAAAATAAAGGAAAAAGAAAAAAGAAGATGGGTACAATTTTTCCTTGATACTTCACTTCCATAAGAGAATAAATCGATTGCCCTTGGAAGACCTTTAATCTTCCCATAGTTTCCCTAGTGGGGAAGTATCCCGATAATTGAATTGACAAATACCATCTACATAACTTCTCAATTAAACTACAATAATTGTCTGCACATAGATTTCTAAATTCAAATAAGTATATCACTTATGCTTGGTTCCTTCTTTTTCCTCATGCAGGTCTCCATCCATTCCAATTTCAATGTCAAATATACCACCGATTTTTTCTTTTAGCTAGATTAGTAAGACTAATAAACCAGCTCATCTCAAAATCTAAGCAGATGGGAAAGTACTTACATTTTAATCGTTTTCTCATTATTCCACCAATGTCCAGCATTAAGAACCAACACATCTGCACCTCGCCATTGGGGAGAAGTCCAGTCCATTAGGTCAACTCTTAAAGTCATTTTGACCTCTTTAGGAGCTCCACTCGGAGCCCGTCCCTGCACTATTAGAAATGGAGATCTGTAGTACTCCACAGTGCAATTAAAATCTTCAAACTTGAATGCCAAGAAGCCTGTGTGTTTTGTGATTGGACTGCCATTAACCTCATACACAGTGCTCTTGTTAGAAACGACAGAAGAGAGCATACAAAGGAGTGATTCCCATTGGTTCCTTCCAATTGAATCACCAACAAATACAAGCCGCTTATCCCGCAGCTTTTCCAACATCTTCCTTGCATCAAACCTGTTACAAGAGTGAAGAGAAACCCCATTAAGATTATAATCCAAAAAAAAAGAAAACCAAAATTTCAAAACTGCTTTAAAATTCAAACTACAGCAAACAAACTAAGATTTCTCAATTGCCGTGTGTCTATTACCAACCTTCATTAAGACCCATGGATCCACTTCAAAGACACCAGACATAAAAATAAAAAATAAAAAAAAAATAATAATAATAATAAAAATCATAAACAACAATGAGGAGAGGGTTGAAAGACCTTTCATAGAACAAGCTAAACGGTGTGAAAGTGTAAGTCTAGAGCAGATGACGCAGGTACTTACAACACAATCGAGCAAAATACATAATACTGAAGCAGACCTTACGTTTCAGAGAAGGAATTGACAAGATGGGAAATATGGCAAACTCCAAGCAATGTGGAGCAATCAACGATTGAGGTCGACTAGGGTAGTAGGATCCGCTAAAGAAAACATGAAATTGCCTAAACAGCCGAGGGTTGACAGAGACAGGTTGAGTATCAATAAAAGAACGAAAGGCTCTCTTTTACTTGATGGTGTAGGTGTAAATTTGACACGCATAATTCCTTGAGGTCTGGATTATAGCCCCACTATATTTCTTACTATCAATTTAATTAAACTTTAGAATCGAATGGTCGATCACATAATGCAAAGAAAAGAAGAGTAGTTAATACAAACAATTGATTTCAAGGCACAACAAAAATGAGCGGAAACCTCGTTAATGGCTATGCTATAACCATTCAGTTTACACAAACAATTGCATAATATTGTTTTTCGTCATCTTCCCATTAACCGGATTCGGAATCTGAAAGTGAGAATAAAAATGAACCTGGGCAAGTTGCAAGTTTTGGGCTGCCAGCGCCACTTGGTGTAGAAGCTATCAGGCCTACCATTCTCAGAGCAACGAAAACCTTGATCCAAGAATGAACAATTCGTGGAATGGTATAGTGGATAGCTCTCATCCCAGAGCCAATTCCCATCAAATACATCACACCCATCACCCTCTTTATCCAGAAATTCAACCCGAGCATCCCCAACCAAGGGTGGAGGCGAAAATGAGGACGAAAAATGCAATCCCAATAAAGGAACTCCCCGAGAGCTTAACCCCCTTATAGCAGCCCCGTAGTCAAGGTAAAAGAAGCAGCTGACGAAGAGAATAACAATCAAGAAGAAGCCAACTATGCCCAAAGAAGGTTCGAGAGGGTTGCAGCGCTTAAATTTCTTGAACAAGTCCATGCGGGTCATAGAGTCGTCGGAGACCTCCGAAGTTGCGCTCTTGCTCACATTCATGGGTGGGTTGGCAAAGGGTGCAAAGGATGGGGGATTCGGAGGCTTCAGAAGCAGAGTTGGAAAGAGGGATAAAGAAGAGGATGTGAGGTACAGGAAGAAGAAGGCATCAGGGCCAGAGAGGCGCAGTGCTAGAGGGGCTTGAAGTTCGGCGTCGAGCAGGGGACGAAAAGGCAGGAAGTTAGCTGAGAATGAAGAACTGGTTAAATGAACAAAACCATTAGAGTAGGAAAGCACCAAGGGAGGTTGGAGGTTCGAGCATTCTGCTACCTTCTGATCGTGGGATAATGGTGGCAGGAAAAAAGATTTTAATTTGATTTTCGGGACTAGCGGCGATTTGGAATAAATGACGCGGGTGTGTACATGGAGTGGAGTTTTTCCTTTTCTCTTTCTCCTTTTTTTTCTCCGCTTTCCTGATCTTTACCCTTCATTTATTTCATAATTTTTAAAAATTATTTAGTAAAATAATAATGAATGATAAAAATTTGAGAAATGGAGGGAAAAAAGAGAGACCCTCCTCCTAGTGTACATACCCTTGGGGCGACAAAAAAATAAAAAAGTAAAGAAAGAAAGAAAAAAAAATGACATGAGAAAGTCAAGGTTGGATTGAAATTTAAGAGGTTAAAAATGCTCTAATAATTTTCTCAAAACAACACCCAATGCTCCTGTCTTTTAAAAGAAGTAATGGTGCCTTAAAAGTATTAAAAGTAGAGCTATGTCACTCTTTTTCAATGTTTGACTGACATTGACTAACTAAATTTAATAACACAACACCTATTTTTGATAGGTGATACTCCATTTTTTTGATCTCCCTCCCTCATGATGCTCTCCTGTCCTTTTTCTCCCTCCTCTTAATCTCAAATGGCAACTCATGCGCACAAACTCCTCTTGACAAGTCGATCCTCTCCGTTGATCTCACCTGTCACCTCTTGATCTTACTCGGTTACTCCAAGCTTTAGGTGCCTTGTTCTTGCTATGGTCCTCATCTTGATCTTGCCTTTGTCATGGTGCCAAGGTGATGCTGGATCCTGCTCTTGTCCTTTACCCTCAATTTTGGCTTTTAGGTGATTGCTTCTAACTTCTTGTTTCTTCTTCTTTTGCAAGTAATATCTTTGTGAATTCTTAGCACAAGAGTAATGAAGAATGAAGTATTTCTATGAACAAATCTAGCTGAGTGAGAATTTGGTAAGATCCTATTTTCAGTATTTATCATTGCCTTCATCTTCTTTAGTTTTTTTTGTTTTAGAAACTCTTGTTTTCACCTTATATAATGATTGTTTGTGTGATTTAAACTTGCTCTCTGGGTATGTCAGAAATAATAGCAACATCTTGATACTTTTTGAGAGATTTTCCAATTTTGATTGATTTCCTTCTTCTGGGCTAGTTAGAAAACGATAGCAGATAAAGTTTTAATCACAATTATATTTTGGGCTTCTGAACTCCAATCGTATGTTAAATCTTTATCATTGTGTAACGACCCCTGTCATTAGCCAATCTTAAATTCAATTAATTAAATCAATCATTAAAGCTAAGAATCGACCTTAGCTAAGGTTAATTCTCAATTCATTTGAAAGTATTAGGAATAATGGGATCCTAAAATTATTAGAAAACAATTAATGATGAATAAATACTTGAAAATACTTAAAATTAGAGTATAAAAGTTTGCATAAATATGGAAATAAGTTAAACATTCAAAGCTAGTTCAGACATGGACAAAACAAACATTTTAGCAAAACTATCACACTTACCACGACCTATTGCACATTTGCCGCCAACTCCTAAACAACACATCTAGCACAACCAAGAGCTTGTTTGTTGTGGCTTGTGGCATAAAGGCCACTCACTGTGACCAATCCAAGACAACATGTCCATTGTGGCCAACTTGACAATCTATTGCGGTGCACACCCAATCACAGTACCATTATAATGGCAATAAAATTTTAACTTTTGAGACACCTAATTTTTAATTTAAACTTTCGATTAATGTGGTCTAAGCACCCACACCAAGATAAATAAATACACTAACTATTAACTTCGGTCTTCTCTCAATCCAATACTAAACAAGGATCTTGTAACACTTGGTGCCAATATATGCATTTAAATTCATAATCCCACAACCAAGTGTCTTCCCTCAAGCTAGCCATTAATCAAAGACCTTCCACATGCATTAAACCCATTCATACATAAGCATATTCAAATATCATAATAATTATTGTTAACCATAAACACACATTTTCATGGTTAACCTTATTCCACAAACAAAGGAGGCCAACATCTAAAATGTCCAAGTTAAACAATAAGGGCTACATGCAAGTGATAAATGTAGTCTAATAGTTCAACCTCTAATGTTGACAATAATAAGTATTCAAATACACTAAGTACCTTGAGACTTGACTTAAGAAGTTATGTGTCTCTAGTCTCCACTGCTTCCCCTTTAGCTGTATACTTAGCATCACCTAGAAAAGTATTAGCAAATGGAGATGAAATTACACAACCTTAGTAACCAAGGCACATATTCAAATACATAAAAATGTGGCAAATGTGAGCACATAAAGCAAAGATTCACATTTTACATACTATCAATACTCAACATGCATCATAAAACTATTAATCAATAACAACATAGCATATAATTCAATGTATGACACTTATACGTGACCACATGCAGTCTATCTTTATTCCTCTTTTTATATTTTTTAACTAAATACATAGGCTATCAAATCATATAGGACTAACTTTATGATTAAATTAGGTTCACTCTTAAATTATGAAGGGTTACCCGATCAAGGTACTTGCTTCTCACTCTCTAATCATAAATCCCCCTTTCTTGAATATCAGAGTGTTAAAGTTGCCACGACCTACACCATCCCTTATAAGAAACAGGTGATCTCAGGTATGCTTGCTCACATATACCGTCCCTAAGGGTTAATGGGCATAAAAGCATTGTAATCATATGTGCCAACTATTGTGTGCAAATCTTAGTAGAGGCTGCATCACATGAAATTTTTGTGTCATTCATACTTACTCAGGTGAACTCCCAACCATCTATAGTCATGCAATATACTCATGATATTTAATGATGTGTCATAATGCAAACTTGATTAACTTATCTCATAAACAAGAACATGACATCAAGTCAAGAATTCAAAAAACTAATATTTAATCTCATCCTAAAACTTTATGCCCATACTTGTTATAGCACTAAGTATCCACTTAAGTATATAATAAAAGTAAATCATATGTTCATTTATTCACATATCCACAGTCATGTTTATTAAAATTACAATGGTCATAGTTCCATCATCACATTGTACTTAATAACCACATTAAAATTCATTAAAACATGCCATGCAACTCATGTCCTCATCACTTTTGAACAAGGTATAATTATACAACCTAAATTAAGTTAAACATCCCATTTCATCATCAAACAAGCTTATGATGGCATACCACATAACTCTTAGCAACCAATACCTATATGCTCACATATTCATATTATTAATTTCATTACAATCAATAACATACAACTTGTAATTGCAAATAATGATTATCTATAAGAATTTAACTCTCAATTACCTCTACTGTTGGGTTACCACTATAAGAGTACACTTTGGATTTTAAGGGAGCTCTTAAGCAATTAACAAGCTCTGAGAGTAGTTAAATCTACAATTAAAATCATTAAATATTAATAATAACTAATTATCATTAATTAGCCCTTAATCACAATTAAGGCCAAATACATTTGTTAGGCGTGATTAAGCAAAATCAACAACAAAACTAACTCTCCTTAACTTATTTAATCATCATTAAACTTAAGAAACACTTCTAACTCTTTCCATTTGCTTAATCTAGGTTAATTAGTATTAGGGTTAACCCTAAACCCATTATTAACAACTTTAATCACTAGCATACGCAAAATTTGATGACTAGAAGCATAAAACAACACCCTCAAACTTCATTGAAGTCATTAGAGTGAACAAGACTGTTCGTTACTCTCCACAAGTAAATGGGTAATAGCAAGTAATACAACAAAAGTAAAATATCATTCCCTTAAGGATTTGTTTACAATCAATGATCAAATAAAAGATTAAATGAGTTTAACCAAGTTGAGCCAAAACATGATTAGATGAAGATGATTTGAAAAGTAAGTTAACACTAGAAAATAAAGAAAAGTAATTGATTCAAACACTTCAAACACAAATTGAGACCTAGAATTATTTATCCTCATTGCATTTCATAACACTAAATTACCTCCAATTATAAATGCTTTCAATAAAAATAAGTGTTAATTTAGGATTCTAAAAATACTTGTATAAGCACTCTCAAGTCATAAACAAATATTTAATTAAATTAATTACCCAATCTCTTATTACAATTAATAAAACTCAATTTTAAACACAAACTCTAATATAGCTATGCAAGGCTAGCAAGTATTTTTTTATTTTACTAACAAAACTATCCATTTAACATGCAACTATCAAGTTCTTGCATTATTTTATCCAAGTTCTACACTCAATCTAACCCTCTCAAGTATCAATCAAATGAACCTAATATCTAAATGACGGCCAAACAATTAAAAGTATTAAGAAAAAAGTAAAATAAACACATAGATATCATTAATCACAAAAAGAGAGGAAGAACTTAATATAAATCCATGCAAGAGTTCCAAATAACTCCATAACAAGAGTTTAGCTACTCATAAGTTTTCATAAATCACAAATACACAAAATACTTGGACTTATTTCAAATTACAAGAGAGAAAGGGAGGAAAAATAGAAAAACTAAAGAAAAGGAGCTCTAAATATCTTCAAAACTTCAATCTCTTACTTCAAGCTCTTCTAATGCCTAAACACTAACACCCTTAAACTCTTAATGTGTCTTAAAGTGAGAAGAATACACTCTAGGTCGAGCTCTTAGCATATATGCATCCTATCCAATCATTTTTAAATAAATAAAATGGAGCATTTTACTGACAACGACGTAAGTCGCGACTTTGTGACAACTTTGGCAATTATGAATTGTTTTCACAATTAATAAAATTTATCCTTTTTGCACTTGATTTCTTTATCCAAAAGTATTGACAAAAGTCCAAAAACACATCTAATCAAACCTTTAACCAAAATAACACAAATTTAGTCCAAAAAAATTGAATTAAAAACAAATATGCAAACTCAAAGTAAAATGCAAATTTTTTTAATTTGGGCAATCAAAATATATACAATTGAGCTAAAATATATTAGAATCTAAAAAAAATGTGCTCACATGACATGAAATTTTAGAGGTAAACACTATCATAATCATATAGCAATACCACATCTCAAGAACTCGGAAGAAAACGCCCAGAAAGAGGGAGTAAAAGAGAGGAGGAAGTTTATGCGATGTTTTGGGAGCCTCAAAACATCTTAAATGGACGTCCACACTGAGTCCTAATAAAGCATCTTTTTTTCTCTCTCACTCACTCTCTAAATTTTCCCTTGCTTCTATTTTTTATCACATAACTCAAATTTAAAAATTCATCATGTTCATTATGACAAATAACATAGTCTATAAGCCCAAATTTGAGCCCATTAACATGGGCCCAAAGTGGCCCAATTATATCTGGGGTTTGAAATTGACTCCCATATAAGATCTAATAGACCCAATGGTGAACCAAGTTCCCTAATTAACCTCTGATTTCAACTATTAACTAGATAACCTCCCAATTGGTATGTTTGATTTTGCAAAAATGAAAGCCCCAGAGAAAAGCAATGAGGCTATGCTAAAAGACTAGTCAAGGAAATTGAATGTGAAAGTAAAGAGAGTTAATTACATATTAGAGTTCATGGTGGACTCGAATTTTAGAGAATTAGGAGCCATCAGTGTGATAAACAAATAGCAGAAAGAGTTCTTCATAGAAGGCATAACCATTAAAGGATTTGCTTTTAGTCCTGTCCATTCTCCCTATATATTGTTCTTCTAAACTTGTTAGAACTAGATTTAGACTAACGAACATAAAGTCAGAGAGAAAGAATATGATAGGGAGATAGAAAGAAAGGCTGGGTCAAAAGGATGAAATTAAAGTTCTACAATCTTCCTCATCAACAGTTCTTCTATATTCCGGCAAGCATTGTGTCTAGGATTCTTTTTCCTTAAGCTACCACACGGCATGCCACATCAGTCTTTTCATCCATCTTTTGGTCAACTATTACTCAAACATTGGTCAAAGGTTAGGAAAATGATGATATTGCTCTACTTTTAATACTTTCAAGGCAACATTGCTTCTTTTAAAAGATAAAAATACTGGGTGCTATTTTGAGGAAACTTCTAAGGCATATTTGTCCTTTAGCCCAAATTTAAATAATTCTCTGTCTTTATGTATATAGGCATTTTTTTTATGAACTTGTTTTGTCCTTCAATATAAAGGTGTCATGATAATTTTAAATAATTGAAAAATTTTATCCTTGTTGTTTTGAAAGAGGGGAGATATGTTAATTGTATGCTCTGTGCACTTCCATAAATACTAATTGTAACATTATTATGAACAAAATTAAAAACTTCTTGTGATTTTATGTGCTTTTAACTAAATAATAATATCACCTCTATCTCAAAGTATAAGATATTTTTAGGAGAAATTTGACATTCCAAAATACATGACATTTTGACAAAAATAGAATTTTGTTAATAATATTTTTCTAATATTACCTTTCCCATATATTTTTTCTTTAATATTCCATCACAAATAGAGTGTTAAATAAAAGGTATTTTTGAGAATTTATATTTTTATCTTGAAAAGGTAGGAACATGAAGTGTATTTAATGAGTTTTATTAATATATATAATTTTATTTAAAAATATCTTATAATTTAAAATAGAAAAAGTAAATTTTTAGGAATGTGTAAAATTTAGCTAAAAACATTTTATATTTAGAAACGGAGGGAGTAAAATATTTTTTTCATTTAAGTAATAATTTTCTCTCTTTAATCTTATTTATAAGTTATTTTTAATATTTTCATTAGAAACAAGAAAAATCTTAAATTTATTAGCTTTGTCTAAAAATTTAATAAATTTTTAACTTTACCGCTATCTAATATACATAACTTAAAAATAAAATATTTTGGTATTTAATAACTTTTTTAATAAGGAAAAAAGGGGTAAGAATGGATACAATGCTTATTGAGATGTCAAAATAAATAAGGGGGAAAAAAACTCTCCCATTATCTTATGAACAGCATCAAGAGAGTAAGTATTTTGAAGGTTTGAAGGAAAGAAGAACCATACATACATATACTAGTTGCGAATGATAGGGCTTTAAACTACAATCATTATGTTCTCTCTTTTTTTAAATGGATTAATGAGCAAATAAAATTTTGAATTCTTACTTGAAAATTATCTTGAATCTTGAACTCTTAAAATATATAAAATAAATACTAAATTTTTAAATTTATAACAAAATAAACTCTAATCGTTAACTTTTTTAATACTATTACAGTCCACGCAAGTACTGTAACAATTAAGGTTAAATTTGTAGAAAAATAAACTTTAAATAGTACCTACATAGATAGTAATGATGTTAAAAAGTTAACAATCAAGGTTTATTTTGTTATGAATTTAAAAGTTTAATATTTATTTTACATATTTTAAAAGTTTAAGGTCCATAATGATTTTCAAACAATAATTCAAAGTCCTATTTATTCATTAATTTTTTTTAAATACTATGCAAAATTGAAACGAAGGTGAAGCACAGACAATAGCACTAGCAAATAGTTACATCAATGGCAAAACCAGTAACTATTGTAAGAAAGGAATAAACGCCAGATCCGCGTCATATATATGTTTGGTTGGCAAATTGAAATTTTATTGCATCCAGCCGTCTAAAGAAATCACCATTGCATTTGATCATCATTGACCAAATACAATAGTGGGGCTCCAATTTCATTCCTGCTTCCGTTAGCGAAGGAGATTGAAATGGCGGCTGCCTACCGTGAAAAGGCTTCAGATCGGGAACGACAAAAGAGAGAAAACTTGAAAGCTTTTTTTAATAAATAAACAAATATGAGTGAAAATAATTTCTTATTATTTATACACTCTGTTAAAAAATATAAGACATTTTTAACTAAATATCACTCCAATAAAATAATTATTTATCATTAAACTAACACAATTTTTTTATAATTGTTCATATTTAATAAAGTGTCTTATTATAAAATAAATATAAAGTGATTTTTTTATTAGAAAAACTTTTTAAAAAAATATAATAATTACACCTTGAAACATTAAAAATCTTATACTCCCTCCAATCCAAAATATAAAACATTTTTAATTATAATTTGAATATCAATAAAATTCAGTTATATCCTTATTTTCATTTAAAAATATCACAAGTTTTCCTTTTTACCCATTTCCCCAATTGTCAATAATAAATTAAATGGGAGAGATAATATTTTTTAATAAAGTATTATAGTATGAGAAAGCGTGATCCTCTTTGTAGATTAATAAAATTTTAACTATCATGTATAATAAGAAAAATGTAATAAGTACTGCACAACAAACCAATTTAATAAATATAACGGTAAAATAAAAAAAAAATTCAAGACCTATCAAGTGTTTTATATTTTAAATCAATATGAGTTAAAAAAATGTTTTATAATTTAGATAAGATGAAGTACTTTTGAACATTCTTGAAAAATGGTTTAGATTTATTAACAGAATTTAATGGTCCATCTCATAAAAGCAGGGGGCTAAAATTCCTGGAACGCATAGGATGACAGCTGATCCGCATTAATCTCCCATGGGTGTGGGAATTGGGATTAATCTCCCTTGACGTATCAAAAGAGACAAGAGGTCATGACTTTTCACGAGTTCCCACACCCCAAAAACATTTCCGACATCTCATTGTTATTCTCCTCTTCAATATATTTTTATGCAAAAAAAAAAACATAATTATCGAATATACAGAACCTTGAAGAATGTTATTTTTATTAATATATAACACTTTTAAGAAAATATATTTTGTATGGAGAATGTCATTCTTTTAATCAATTAAATGTATGGAATTATTTTTTCTACTTGGTTTAATTTCTCATTTATCACGCCAAACTTAAATTAACATTGGTCAGGCACGGCCAGGTTTCCTGTCGTGATGATGCCTGCACGACTTGGCCTGCTTACCAACACCCACACCCAGCATGGTCCCATCACGTAAGATCATTGACAATGAGTCATGATCTGACTATTTAATATAAATATTTGGTGTGCAATGATCATTTTTATAAAAAAATAAATACATAATCCACCATATACTTATAGTTTTGTATAAACATGGAAAATAAAACTGGTACGGCACCCTCTGTTGTTTGCTTTGGGTTGTAGATTCTGGAGTGATATGGAATTCATAAGCACTTTGAAATTATGTTCAGAGCAACATTTCCTTCACACTCCGCGCAGTCAATCAAGTCAGGTTTGATTTGGCTATTCATCGCAGTTCCAGTGCTGTGATGAGATATAAATCATCTAGATCTAGGATTTTTTTTGATCAATTTTTTAAAAACATCTAATAGAGTGGCAGTTACAATATTATGTTTGTTTTAGACTTTACATCATTTAAAACGAAAAGTTTTTAAAAAATATATAAATAAAATAATATTAAACATGAACTGTCGAACTTTAAACCGGTCCAGTTTTAAGGACATTCCAATTGAGCATTGAAGCTGGTTCCCAATCAAATAAGCTCAAGATCTCCTGGATCGTTGAGTTGGGTCATTAAATTATTCGTTAGGGAGAAGCAAAGCCTCATGAATGTTCCATTAGACCAGCTAGTTAGAGCAACAATAGCTTGACGCTCGTCACATCACAAAACGCGGTGCCATAATGTCATCAACACAGTAATGCCGCTCCAAAAATCCCACTCTTTATATAATCGTATCCACAAAGAGTTCCAGACTAGACTCCAAGGACCTATCCTTTTAAATAGATTATAGCTGAATCATCATTTTCCCGATGACGCTTAAGAAGTTGTTCAGGATCCAAATGCCCTTAAGTTGGATATTTAAAAGGAAAAAAAAGGGGGGGGGGGCGTGGGGAGATAAACAGTCGGAGTCAAATGTAAGAGAAAATGCAGCGTGCGAAAGCATGAGTAGGAAAGCGGAGGGTGCTCTCTAGGTGTCACCTACATATATAATGATAGCATTAAGTGGTGTCTTTGCGCATAAAACAACCAGGGATAAAAAGGGAAATGATGAGACGAATAATTTAAATAATTACGGAGCCGACATGCAAATCTGTAAGGAGATGAATGAATATGTAATTGAAAGAATCCATGGGGTCTCCAATGACAAGTTATCTCCAAATTGCAGACAGTTTAACTAGCGTTTTGTTAGCATCACAATTACTCTCTCGGCAAGTCATTCAGTGTCATGCTGTCGTTGTATGGGCAACCCTCTCCCAACTCTGCGAGATGTTTCCCCATTTACTCAACAATTGCAGGTCACTGGGAAGGAATTACCCACTAGAACACAGAAAAGACTTCAAAGAAAACAGAACGACCCCCCCCCTTCCCTTTTTCACCATTAAAAATAACAAGATTGACAAATTCAACACCAGGAATTAGCATTAACACTCCTTTGATATCCCTGCTACTCACCACAAATTCTAACTACAAAATAGGTTTTCAACGGCCTCGACCACGACCACGTCCACGACCTCGGCCACGACCTCGCCCCAAGGGTTTCCCTGGAAACAAAATGGACATTTGAAAACCATAACTCGCTGAATACCAGCTACCATAAGCTTACTCAATAGCAAGTGTCTCAATTAAATATGTTGTGATCAAATAATATACAGTACCAGCAGTTGGCTTCTTGGGTTTCACCCTGGGTGTCTCCTCAACCAGTAAAGTCTCCAGATTCAAGCTGTCAGGAAGGATGTAATAACGGATATTGTTTCCCCTTACACTGAGATGATCCAGAGTCACAGGGTTTTTCCCCTTCAATGTCAATTTGACTGTTTTTAAATGTGTATTCATACTGATGTCCACACCTGTCATAAAGCAAGAAATCCAGAGGTCAACTAGTCAGCTGGAGCCATAATTCAGAGACTAGGTCAAGCACTTCACTCGTCACCTACAACACAATGACATCTACTTATTTAGTGCCTTTGAAGTCCGTCAGCATGCATCTGATATCTCATAAAATAGAAGCTTCCCAAGTTCTGAATATGACACGACATTGGGGATTCCATGCTTTACAATTAGCCTCATGATAAGAGCTACAGAGATTCCCAGAAGAAGTGCCATTGAATAGATCGCAAGGGATGGAATGTAATAGTTAAAGTGAATTGGATCATTGTTTGGGAATTTTTCCAATAATGGAGTGGAATATCAAGGGATGACTTTTAAACCGTTCCCTACCATCCAAAATCCCAGTGTTTGAGTGCCTCACTTGCCATTCCATTCCATTCTCTCATAAACCCTCAATCCTCAAACATAGCCTCAAGATTTTTAACTTTCGGTAAATGTTTAAAATATATGGACCGAATGCAAAGCCACTGGATCCTGCAATTTGTCATCGTCACTATTTTATTATGAACAAATGCTGCTTCCATGCGCAGAAAAAAATCTCTACCACAAAATATAGGTATTTATCACAATAAACACGAATCACAAAAGTCTAGGGTTTAAAAAGGCCTCCCGTAAAATCATAAGCCGTCAAATTAGGGAAAATTGAAAGTGATGAGGGAGAGAGAGTAAAGAGAAGAAACCTGTAACAGTTCCATGAACAACAGTGCCGTTCTTGAGCTCGATGGATACAGTTTCGTTGTTTAATTTCATCAAAAACCTGCTCGTATTTTCAAGTAGAGCTTTCAGCTTCTAATAAGAATAATGGAAAAGAAACATTACACTCGTTACAGACATGTAGGAAGACTTAAGAGAGGGTGAGACCTGACGAGCTTCATGGTGGCTGTGACGAGGACGATGAGCTTCAGCACGCTGCAGCGGGAGATGCGGTCTTTTGATCGCAACTCGCCGACGACAGGTGCAAGGGGGATGGAACGAACGACAGCGTTTCGTGGTTTTTTTAGATGGTACATTAATAATTTAATCTTTAATTAAAAATCAATTTTTATGATTGATGTAATAATGGAGAATTTCAACTAAGGACAAAGAATGTAATTTATTTACTAGTCAGTTTTAAAAAAATTTAAAAGTTTGACTTAGTCTAAGAAAATTAAAATGAAAATAATTTCAATTGTGAAAGAAAACTAAAATGCACTTCATTTATTAATTTTGTTTAAGATATAAAATTATTAGTTATTATTTTTTATTTCACTTGTTAATTTATCAATATAAATTATAAATTACATCAGTTTGTTAGACAAATAGCAGCATCAGTTATTAATTTACTAACTTTATTTATTAATTTACTAATATTAGTTGTTAATTACATGACTTGTCAATACAACAACAACAACAATAATAACAAGCTTTATCCCACTAGGTGGGGTCAGTTACATAAATTATATGATATCATTATACTCCATCATTATTAAGTTTTTAGGAATGTTATTAGTAAATTAACAAGCAATGTCAATAATTTATAACTGATATTAATAAATTAACAAGTAAAGTTAACATTTTAACAATTGATGTTGTTGTTTATGATTGAATAATTAATGTCAAGTCTTGTATAATTATTGATAGGTCAATTGATGTAATTTACAATTCATATTGACAAATTAACAAGTGAAGTAAGAAAATTAACAACTAATAATTTTGCAACTTGAATAAAATTAACAAGTGAAGGGTATTTTAGCCTTTTCATGTTAAAATTATTTTCACTTCAATCCTCTTGACCTAAACTAAAGTTTTAGATTTTTTTGGACCCACTAGTAATTAAATCACATCTCTTATCCTTAGTTGAAATTCTTCCATGTAATAAAGCTTTTTGAATTAATGTTTATAATAAAACTTTAATGACTTTGAGAATAAAATCTTAGGTTAAGGTGCAAAATACACACCAAGCGGTCAGCTAGGAGTATCCAATGACCTAAAGTGAGAAAAAAAGTAAAACTATCTATAACGTTATCAAAGTTAGTGCAAAAATATCTAAATTGTTAACTTGCCTTGACGTTGTTAGCTTCATATATTAAATATTGACTGTACTTGTCACGTGTTATTATTTGTTAACACTGACTAAAAAAGGAGAAAAAAAAATACCCAAAAAAATCATTAGTTAGAAGCATCTAGTAGGTTAAAGTGAGAAAAAAGTGATAATACCCATAATGTTACTTTAATAGATGCAATAGTGACCAATCCATTAAATAACTCAAAATGTTAATCGTTTAGCTGACACCTAAATAGAAATTGATTATTTTTTCGTTGACATAAACAAAAACATTTTCAAGTGAAATTTTATGAAGATTGATCGATTATCATATGAATATTGTGTAAAAAAAAAATTTTGACTAATCAACAAGTCAAATCGCTTGCTTCTTTACAATAGCACATGAAACTATTTGAGGATTTCAAGCTTCATTATGAATGAAATCACTTAAGATTGTGCCAATATTCTTAAACTATATGGTATAGGAGGTGTGCATAGTCACAAAGGTGTTACGAGCATTGATAACTGTCTTCATGAAGTGCTTGTATTTTCTATAGTGAGCCACAGCTTCTTCGTTCTCAATTTTTAATTGTGCGCAATCCATCTCATTGTATTGAATCTTAGATTTTGTAAACAAAAAAAAACGAGGGGAGAGGGAGGGGGTAGAATATGTAGCTATAAAAAGAACTTACGTGACATAAATTTTGACAAATTGATCACTATTATATCTAATAAAGTAATTTTATGAGTGCTCTTGCCCTTTTCTCTCTTTATGTTATTAAATGCTTATAGCCAATAACTTTATGGGTATTTTTGCCCATTTTTTAGTCAATGTTAGCAAATATTAACATGTGGCAAGCATAACCAATAGCACAGTCAGCATTTAACAACAAAAACTAATGGCAATAGGGCAAGTTAATGGTTTGATCACTTTTGCACCAACTATGATAATATTATAGATATTTTTGTCTTTTTTTCTCACTTTAAGCTATTAGATGCTCTTAATTAATCATTTGATGAGTGTTTTGACACCTTAATCCTAAAATCTTTTATATAGGGTTAAAGGAAAAAATGTTATGTAACTTTTTCTCCATGGACGCTTGGCATTCTAAACTTTTTTTGGAACATTTTTGTTTCAAAATGTTTCAAAAAGAAAGTGTTTTTGTCCCACCATTAAATATTGGAAACATTGACTGTTAAGGTAAAGTTTGACTAGGATATTTTTACTATTTTGCCATCCTTTATTTTCATTTGTTGGAGGAAGAAAAGTTAAAAAATTCACCGAATAATAAAATTAGAGACTAAATGTGGAACGAAGGAGAATAAAATATAAAAATATCCTTAATCAAATTTTAATTTAATAGTTAACATTTTCAATATTTAACAATGGGACATAAATGCTATCTTTTTTAAACTTCTAAGCAAAAATGATCTGAAAAAAGTGTTCTTAAAAAAAGTTTCACGACATTTTTACTCATTAACATTTTATATTATAAACTTTATTTGTCTTTCTCGTGTGTGTTCCTCTGTGTGTGTGTGTGTGTGTTTTTTTTTTTTTTTTGGGATACATTAAATGAAAATTGTAAGACAATCCTTGTACGCATTGCTGCAGAGATAAAGGTTGCAAGTAAAGTTGTTTGGTGTGTTTTAACCTATCAATGGTAAATAATCATTTTAACTATACTAGCTGCAAATTTATACATAAGATATTTTAAATAATTTATTTTTAATAAATGATAAGGACAATTTGAATGTTAAATATGTATACCTCTTCTAGCAATTATTCATGCCTTGATTTACTGTGTTACAAGAAACTAGCTCATTTTGATGAATATGATTCCACAAATTTTTTTTTTTTTCAATAGAAATTTATCTTCCTATGCAAAAATGTATTTGATCCGTCGAAAGTAACACGTACCCACAATGAAGAAGTTGGCAGGCAAGTGACTAGGAAAATCACAAAAAAAAAAAAAAAAGGCAATTACGAATCAGAATCCCACAAAACTTGGTACTATTTAGACAAGCACTCTTTTCATATTATATCGTATATAAAGACAATTCTTTCTTTGAAAAAATTGATGTATATTTTACATATTTTAATTTTACTCTTTTATAATTTTCAATGGATAAAGTAAGAGATTACATATAAAAGAGATGTATATTTTTTAAAAAATGACGCAATTAAAAAATAAATTAAGAAGTTTATATTTTTCTCAAATAATACTAATGATTTAGCTAACCGGTGAATTAGTCAGAGAGGAGTATATTGGTAAAATAAAATACAAGTGGTTCCATTAATTAATCAATCATAGAAGAGGACATCTTACTCGTTTTTGCCCTTCACACTTGAACCCTGCACTTCGAATGCACAGAGAACAGCTGCTTATATCAGAGAAGTGTATAAACATGGGGGTTCTAGAATCTAGACACTTATTGATAGACAGAAATTTAATTATTTTAATACCAGAACAAGGGAAGATAAATCCGCATGCGTTTTATTCAAAGTCGAATCCTGATCGTGGGGCGGAAAGGGCGGGTCATGGGGCGGAGGTGAAGTTGAAGTTTGCACATGTAGTCATCCTTCCAAAGAGCAAAGAGCTGAATCCTAATCTAGAAGAAGCTAAATCGAACTGCAGAAGATTGTTCTCCAACTGATACCCACCTATTACTATTGAAGTCCTTGGATCATCACCTCCATTCACTACCCCAAGACACAGCACATCGTCCTTCACTTCCACCATCGAGTTCGCTCCGAAAATGAACCAACTCACATTATTCTGAAGCACAAGCTCGATGGTCGGCACCGCCGCACCCAACCGCGTGCTCCCCACGTTGTCCTTACTGAAACACACTTCGAATGGAGCCACGCCACCCACCCTGGTGATGTTCCTAGCAGCCGAAGCACTGATAAATGCCTCCGTCACCGCCTTGAAGATCGAGGCCTCCAAAACCGTGTACGGGTTCACCGTACTTATTTTGGTCCCACCAAAGCCTTCCTCGTTTATGGATAGCAGAGTTTTGTTGATACTGGGGACAACTTTTTGGTCGATCTTGATGGATTTGACGCCGATGAAATACTCAGACGAAGGCTGTCCTTGTGTGAAAGCGGAAGCCGTGCTTACGGGGTTGACAATGAGTGGCGTGTAAGTGAGCGACTGAGCGGCGTCCACGTTCGGAAGGAAAACGTAAGGGCCGTCTCCGAAGAAAACAACACCTTTTGAACTTGAGGCAAGGCAAACGGCGAATTTCCTGTGAAAGCTAAAAGCAGAAGCGAATTGAGAAGGACAAGCTATTTTGGTTCTGCCGAGACCGGCCATTCCCGATACTCCGCTAGCGAGGCCATTCAATAAGAAAGTGGGTGCACATGAGAATATGAAGCGGGAAACAGTGGCGTTTCGACCCTGGTTGAAGCCGTTAGTGGACTGGATCGACACGACGTCTTGGGCGACCTCGCCGCCGGTGGCGGTGCCGGTAATAGTGTTGTCCGGCATCACGCCGCAGGTATTGTTGTTGCAACCCGGCCTGGGAGGCGAAAAGCATTCGCCGCATCCGGAGGCGTCCGCGAGGGAGCATTGGGCGGAGTTGCAGCGTGCAGGTCGGTAGGTGGAGGAGGTGTAGTGTTGGTCGCAGTCGACCCAGAGGAATTGGCCACCGAGATCAACGACGAGGTTGACGGGGACGAGTGGGTTTCTCTGGTGAATTCGAGTAACGTATTGTAGAGTGGCGGCATCTTTAGTGACAGGTATTACGAGGGCTTTGGGTCTGAAAGAGGATTGAGCAAAAGAAGAAGGCGCAATGAAGAGCAGGAGAAGGAGGAGGTATTGGAACCTGGAAGCCATGTGGAGTGGAGCAGCTAGGAGTATGGGAAGCAAGCTAATTGTCTAATTCATCTGATCTGAAAAATGAGATCATGGAGTGGATCCTCTATTTATAATATATAAAAATAAAAATAATAACAATAATGATAATATTTATTCCGCATGGTCAATTGCGCCTCTTTTGAATATCATGACAAAGTGATGCGGTGCACAGACGATGACGTGCGTTCTAGTCAAACCGTGGGCTACGCGCAATGCTCATCGAGGATCAAGACGCTGAGGGATCTAAATTTTTATCATCATACTAAATGTTATTTTTCAGTCAGACAAAGCAGGCTCGACTCATCCGGCAAGTAACGACCAGAAACTGGGCCCCCCCGCCATTTGATTTCGATAGTTGACATTCAAACAATATCTTGTCTTTGTATAAATAAATGCTCCTTCAAATTTAGTAATATTTTTCAGTTAACTTGTTCTATGAATGCAACATTTGCTATCCCGTTGAAGAAAAGGCAAGAGAAAATTAAAATTAGAAGTAAAAGGTTCTATTTTAGAAGTGCCAGGTGAAGTTTTAAAGCATCTGGACAAATGTTGAAGTTATGCATACATAGATACATACCGCCAAAAATCAACTTGATAATAAAGTTTGGTTTTTGTTAATGGGCAGATCATACATCTCTGGCAATATTTCATGATAAGTAGCGTAAATCTATATATAGTGTTAGCTGTTGTGAGGTTGCAGGAGTGGTATCACCAAAGATTGCAAGAAGGGAGAGAAGACAGTGCCTTTCATCTAGAATTAAGTTAGCCAGCCATGGCCGCCCCCTCCACGAACGAAGATTTGTGCATATCTTATCCACTTCTTGTGCATATTTAAACAAAATACAGCTTGTGATAGTCAATGGATTGAATTTTACATACATTTTAAACTAATAATTGGTTGATCTAGCGGGACCAAGCTAGAGTACTAGCACGAATTGTTGATTAGCAGATGAAGTTGGACTGTCTAGATTTCTCTTGATACACGCTTAGAGAATGAGAAATCGATAAAGACTGATATTAAGAAAGAGTTTATTATTTAAAAAAAAAAAAACTTGTACCAGAAAGAAGAAATATATGTGTATATATAATAAGGTTCTGCTTCTGTAAGTTGTGCACGCAAGTAGGAATATCTGATTCAAAACGTTGAATCTGTTGGGGGATAAAAACGTTGAAGCCCAACCTCCGACTTTCAAAAGGACAGCTAGATGAAAAGATCCGAATGACCCAAAAAATATAGATTAACTTTTTAAAAATTTAAAAGCATGGCCAATTTACGTTGACATATAAAAAATTTATAATTAATATATAAAAATTTATTATTAATATATAATGAATTTATTATTAAAAATTTAAAAAATTATAAGGTGTTTATAAACCGATCATAATATAAAATATAATAAATATTAAATTATTATTTTATTTAGTTTGATTTTATAACATATTATACATGCATAAACCTCTTTGATTATATGGGCAGTTCATCTTGGATAGTCCACTGTTTATGTGTAGTCACTGCTGGCCGAAAAAGCATTATGCGGCCACTGAGTCTATGGCACGTTGCTTTTGACCAAAAAGAAACGATGCAGGTGCACAAAGCGACGTCGCTCTAATTTATTATAGGCCGTAATTAAAGGCAGAGCTTAAAACCAAATGCTAATTAAAGACAACTTCTACTGGTGCCTCTTTCGTGCGCCTTTCTTCTTCTGATCAGAAGACAGCAGGGCCTTAATTATTTTTTTGTTTTTGAGGGGGGGGGGGGGGGGGGGCCCAAAGAAAAACCATAGGACGAATCTAGCTCATCATGGTCGAAAGTTTAGATATACAAGAATTTTATTTATAAGATATAAAAAATTAATTTGAATTATATTTGCATGACACTTTATTTTTTTTATACTCATCTTTATCTTTCTATTCTTATTTAATGCAAAAAAAATTATTAAAAATTTTCGTTAAAAGTAAAAATAAAAATTTATTAAAATTTAAAATAGAATCAAAAAAATTTAAAGTTTTTTTTAATTCGTGTGAAAAGTTAAAATATTTTTAAGGCGTTATGTAAATAGAACTAGTGGGAACATTTTTTTCTTTTTAATTTCTTCCCAAGACATAAAAACTTACATTTCTTTTCCCTTAAAAAGACAAGCCCCAAGAAATAAATAAATTCTTTAACTTTAAGAGATCTATAATCCTATTTAAAACATGATAGTACTTGGAACAAGATGCTAAGGTGTAGGGAGGATGAGTGGAAATTCATGCTGGTTGATTTATGAATAGTTGAACAAAAAATTAGCCATGACAGGGTTGGGGCGTGGGGTGGAGTGTGGAAGCCTGGAAGGGGGGGAGTCGAGTTTTACTATGAGTAACTGCAACACTATGAGGACGACAAGGACATGCACCAGAATGGTTTGATCTTTACCCACTTTATTCTTGTGAGTTGTGGAACAGGCCATTATCCCCAAGATTATCAAGGCCATCACTTGAACTACGAGGACTTCTCCTAAATTCACTTCGACCGTTAGCCTTCTCAATTCTGGTACTAGTCCTCCCCTATTTGAAATATTCTGTGAAGAAAGTCCATCATACTTGTCAACATTCAATAGCATCATAAGAGTTTAAGAATTTAAACTCAGTTGCAATGTGTGATAAATGCTATTGTGTCATAATTGACATATTTTTTATTATATTTTAAAAGTCATCAATGAAAAAGAAAAGCATTTTCTTACTTTTATAAAGAGAAATTGACTAAGAATATCATATGAATTTATTGTAATATTTTTTAAAAAATTATTTAAAATTACAAATATTGAAGTAAGTAAATATTATACTTATAACTATTAAGTGTTGGTAGGTGGAGTATGAAAAGTTAAAGTAAGAAACTGAGAGGAATAAAAGAAAAGTTGTTTCGAATGCCAAGGCACAAACAGCAAAAGTATCATTGCACAATCAAAATTGTTATCATAATTACTCACGGGTGCCTGATACCACATAAGGAGTGCCATGATGTCAGTCAAAAATCTAAAAATGCACAATTTCATTTTCTATGTGAAAAAACCCTACAAAATTTGTTTTTCTCAACCACAGCAATCATCTTTCAGCTACTACAATTGAAGGCAACCTTAGGAGAGCAAGCTTTAGAGTTTTGAAGCTTTAGGTTGAAGAGAAAGTTAAGAAAATACATCTACAATAATGATTAATCAATTTTTCTTCTTCTTGTTCTTTCTTGTGCTTATGAATTCTAAAGTTATTGATGCTATCATTGTTTTCATGTAAGCTATGTGGAGCTAAATACTTGTTGTTATAGAGGACTATAAACCTATTTGTGCAAATAACTTTTAATTTATCATTTAATTGTTGAGGAGTGAAGTTTTAATTATTTGTTCTTATTTAATTTTTGATTACTACTAAGTGAGATTTGGACATTTAAATTAAACCTTGAAAGAAAAAACTCAAATTAAATCTTCAAAAATTGTAACTTGAAATTAGTTTAGCTAATTTTGCCATTAAAACACGAATATATCTAATGAATCTAAGTAATCCTATATGTTACAGTCTCTAATGCAATTTAATAAGTAATGTTTTACTTTAATTGAATTAATTAGGGTTCGTAATAGTCAGAAGATACTTTGAATTAGTTTAAATTCCTTGATTATTAAAACCAAATTTGAAGACAATTAATATGGTAATGAGAAAGTTAGAAAGTAAATAAAAAATTAAAACTCTAGAATGCTCTTCTCTTCTCTTAATTGAATTTAACTTGCTTATAGATGGAAAGTTATTTTAACTATGAACTTTTAATATTTTCATCTGAATTATTCTAAAATCACTCAATTTTTATTAACTTAACGTGAATAAATTTAAAAATTTAACACCTAGCTGCTAGCTGCTATTTTAGTTACTTTTCTATGAGATTAACCTTAATTTACCAATAGTTATAATTGCGATCCACATAGTTGCAGTATCTATTGATTTTTGTCGGCATCAGTGGGTCTTGTCATCCACTACAATTATTCATGTTAATTATATTTGCCAAAGCAGGACTAAACTACAATACATCCTTCCATCACTGTAACAGCTTTCCCCCGCAATAGCACCCTTTGGTTCTGCTCATCAAGATGAATATTGAGAACCCCGCCCCTTGGCGATGCCTGCTCATATAATATAAAGAGTCAAAACAACAATCACAAAGATAACCCCAAACTAGCGGATAAAGAGTACCTGATAGGCATTGAAATCAAGCTTCCCAAGTTTCTTGCTCCAATAAGATGCTAAAGCACAATGTACACTCCCAGTAACAGGATCCTGAAAGGAAATGAAAGCGACCCACCATTATCTCATTACTTTTGTTTTATTATCTAGAAATTTAATGGACGTTCGGTTTTGCTTTCTATAGTATTTTCCCCTTCTGGTAGATTAACCATGCTCAACAAGTCCATAAGAAGTTATCTCTCTCTGTTTTTTTTTTTTTTAATCAAGTCTTGAGCAACCAATGTGGCAGAACAACTCAAAATATAAAGAAATTTCTTCATACTTGTTCCAAGTTCCAAGTACCATTTGTACAAATAAGAATCCCCTCGTTACATAATTTCTTCTTCATATAGATAGACATAGGATCTATGGAGCAATTATTTAGAAATATATTTTGTGAAACAACCCTTCCTATTTAATAGAAAATCAGCTTTATCGCATTAAGTGAGGTAACTTACAGAGATCACAAGACACTGTACTAGACATTGTAGTATTAGGTAGAAAATTATTGCATAGTTTGATTCAAAATTTGAATTAAACATGTTTAACGCTAGCACAAGCCAAAATCAGACAAGGTGCCAGCCGTGTGACAAACAGCAGAGCAGCATCTATGAGGCGGTAAATCAAAATGGGAGAGGGGGATTTGAGAAATAATGCACCAGAAAAAATGCATCTTTATTTGAGCATAAAATAAACCACGACAGACTAGAACCATTATAGTCATATGGTTATATCTCAGCTATTTACCTCATTGATTCCGTTTTCTGGGCAGAAGAATCTGCTGTAGAAGTCAAA